GTATAAATAAAACATTTATACTCCGCCGGAGTATAAATATGTGAAAATCATAGTGGTTGTCAACCATAGTAACCATGGTAAGTGAAATCAAGGCAATTCGTTAATGAAGCAAGAAGATAGGAAATAATCATTTCAAAAGAAGATTAATCGTTTGAAAATAAAATATTGTATTTCATTCGGAGTTTAAGTGACTTCATGTGACTCGTATGGACTTAATTCGCCTCGCTATCGCTCGGCGTTTAATCGTCCATACTTGCCACATAAAGTATTACTTAAACTTCTAATAAAATAAATATCTATTATGTTAAACATAAAATTATACGGAATGTATAATCTTTCATAACAAATAATTTTGACACCCATGCATAAAAAGACTGTAACAAAATTATTTTTAGCTTCTTAATAAGGTTTATGACGATTTTTGCCTACTTTTCAATCGTATGGAGCAATTGAGGAAGGAATACTTCGAGAACGTTAAAAAATGCACAACCTCGGAAGAAGCTTTGACAGGGAGCCTGAGAATTTTGGAAATATTTGATGAAAAGAACTTCCACTGCCAGAAGAAATTATCAGATCATTTTAGGAAGCGCCTAAAAAGTGTAAGTTGTTTTTATTGTAATAATTATATATTTTAATATGGAACACTTGAAAAAAAAATGAATTTATGTTAAACATAAAACCATACGAAATCTATAATCTTCCACAACAAATAACTTTGACACTAACTTGTGTATAAAGCCATTGCAACAACATTATTTTAGGCACTTGATAAGGTGTATAGTAATTTTCGCATACCTTGCGACTACGTCAATGATCTAATCGTTAAATATTCCACGTTTGTTAAAGAATGCAGAACTTTAGCAGAAGCCGAAGAAAGGATGGGGGAAATTTTAGTGACATTTAAAAAAAAAGGAGTTGAACAGCGAGGACGAATCACGAAATAAATTTGAGAAACATCTGACGGAAGTAAGTAACTTTTTTCGTTAATGGAAATGATATAGTAATTTAATAAATTGCAATTGTAGCAATGTTCTCAGATATATAAAAATAACAAAACTGAAATTGAAATGAGGCATGTGAAAGACGTTCCTGCAAAGATTGGTAAATGGAGTTCACATATTTTAGGAGCAGCTGGGCAAGCTTATGGCGTAATAACAAACAACCACAAGTTGGGTATTCTACTGTCAGCAACCAGTCAATTTGGGGGAGATGCACTTAGTGCAGCTGCACGTGGAATTGGAACACTCGTAGTAAACAGTAGAAACACTAATAAATAATAATCCTGAATAATCTTCGTATTCTAGCCATAAGACATAAAATAATATTACGGAGCTTTTTTGATTTGTGAAACTTGTTATATTATTATTATTATTATTCTTGTTTCTTATATTAAACCGTTTATTACACACTAGCTTTTTTTCGCAGCTTGAGCTCTCGTCTCGACAGACATAAATTCCTCCAAATTCTTGTCCAATCCGACAGGAAGCCGTCGAAAACGAGTCATTAATCTCAAATATCATCTTTCTCTATATATGAACCAGTGGTTGCTGCATTTTTCATTATGTGTTCAAATTTCTTCATTTTACTCTCCACGTGATCTTCTATACATTTCTTTTCCCTTGCTTCCATTTTCTCGTCCATTTTTTCCATTTTCGCGTTCATTTGTTCGCTTCTTGCATCAATTTTTTGGTTCATTTCTTCCATGTTTGCGCCCACTTTTTTCATTCTTGCGCCCATTTCTGCAAGCATGGCCATGATCTTTTCCTCCATTTTCGCAGTTTGAGCTCTCGTCTCGACAGGCACAAATTCCTCAGAATTCTTGTCCAATCTGACCGGAAGTCGTCGTAAAACCAGTTATTAATTTCAAATCTCACTTCTGACGCCAGTATCATGTTGCGCGGGCGAGTAAAATCGGTATCGTAAAACTCAAGAATATATTTCCTAATAACTCGAATTACACGACTAACTATTGCAGCGATTATGTACAAACATTATTCCGGTGAATTTCACTGGACGCTCTTGACTCAACTAACTAGATGCTCTTCCGTTCCCTCTGTTTAAACCTATGTGTGCCTTTCGATAGATCCAGAACGCTGCTGCGATAGTTTTCTGGGCCCGGAATCGAGATTTCCGGTAAGCCGCTCCAGACTTGCGTTTCTGGACCGCTTACCGGACATATAATATTATTTCTATGGGTCCTACTGTATGGAAGGGCCCTTGGAAACGCTCGTGAAGCATGACGTCTTTATAGGGACACATTTTCGTGGACGAATTGTGCCCGATCATCACACATTTACCGCTACCGTTCAGCATCTTAGAGACAACGGTGAATATCGTCCCCAAATGACAAATCGTGGCCGACAGAGAACTGGAGGGACATTAGCTGCTGAACCTGAGATCTTAAATATGGTAGAAGAAAACCCAAGTATCAGTGTCAGAAGGCTGTCCTACAGAGTTGGTGTTTCCCCATTTGCCGTTTGGCGTACATTAAGAGAGCAAGGACTCCATCCGTATCATTTGCAACGAGTACAAGCTTTCAAAGAAGCAGATTTACCTCGTCGGATTAGGTTCTGTGAGGGGTTATTACAAAAAAATGATGAAGATCAACAGTTTATTGGAAACTTGCTGTCGACGGATGAAACAACATTTACGAGAGACGGGGTATTTACTCGTAATTGTCATAATACAACGTTTGATGTGATGAAAACCCTCATGAAAATCATGGGTCATTTTCAACAACGATTTAGCGTAAATCAACGTGTGGGCAGGTATGGTAGAACATCATTTGATAGGTCCATATGTTTTACCTCCACGGTTAACTGGCGCTGCATATCTTAATCTTTTGAACAATACGTTGGAAAATATTTTAGAGGATGTACCTTTAGCTACCCGGAGGAATATGTGGTATTTACATGATGGAGCCCCTGCCCACTATACACATGACGTGCGGGAATGGTTAAATCAAACATTTCCAAGAAAATGGATAGGAACAAACGGTCCAGTAGTACGGTGGCCTTCTAGGTCACCAGATCTAAATTCTTGTGATTATTTTTTATGGGGACATATGAAGCAATTAAGTCTATGCGGCACCTATTAATTCCATTGAAGAATTGACAAATAGGATTCATGATGTTGCGGCTACTATGAGAGTAAATCCAGACATGATAAGAAGAGCGCAAGAATCATTAGTTCGTCGAGCTCGGGCATGCATTGCGAATGATGGTCGGCATTTTGAGCAATTTCTATAAAAAATAGATCGTTTTCACTACTCGCTGCTGTAATTATTCAATCTTAATTTAAAAGGCGAGATTACTTTTCAAAATCCAAGGATTTTCGGCTTGTCAAACCTGACTTTACTTTTACTTACTATGCATTTTGCGTCGTCTTCGTTGATTCACTACTAATAATGAATCAACGAAGACGACGGCATTTTGATTCAAAATAATTTTAAATTCGTTGCTAGGTTTGTATTCAAATTAAATGCAATCAATTTACGTGGATATTTTCATCAGTGGTGTTCTAAGCAGGTGGTTAGAGGTGATTTTTTTCATCATTAAAAAAAAATTGAGACTTACTCGATTCGATTCCTTAAGGATGCCAAAGACCTTCATTAATTTTTGGTAACGTATTTCAAAAACACCCTGTACAGTGAAAACGTTTTACTGGCATATTTTTCCGATTATCTAAAAAAATGTTCTCCTTCTTCAATCTGATCGTATTATTTCATGGTGTGCGACGAAATTCCGGTTGGGACGAACAGTGACGGTCCGGAATCTCGCCGATAACGTGTGGTGGCGGCGTACCTGGGTGCCAAGCTTAGGGCCCACTAGTGTCGCTGATATAACAAACACGTCTGGCCGACCTAGCTTATGCGGCGACCTTCACGCCGCCGGGGGTGGCGCCTTCGGTCAGGAGCGGCGGTCGCTCGGGCGCCAGCTCCCTCTAAAGCCGGAGACACGGATATCATGTAGTGAGCGCCCGCGAAAACACAAGAATAAAAATAAAATGGCAAGGATTTAAACAATAAATAGGGTTTATTCCCTGCCACCAGCTACACGGCTAAAATAATAATCTTACGCCTAAGTCTTAATTAACTACAACAAATTTAAACAAAAAGAATTAAACGTCCGGCACGGTCAATCCTCCTGGACGGCGACTTCCTTCAGGACGGGTTCCTCCTGCACTTGGGGGCAGCGACCTTGATGCTGGAAATCGCGCGAGGACGGTACGGCGACCCGGGAGCGGAGCGCGGTGGCCGTAACGACGCGTGCACGACGGTTTCGACTTGTGGCGGCGATCACAAAAAAAAACCGGTAACGGTGGTACGGTTTTACGCTCGGGGGTGGCGATTCCAAAGCCGGTACAAAAACGGGCAGACGACCCAAAAGCTACTTACGGAGGTCGAAGGGTCGAACTGCAGTTAGAAATTTCACACTTCCAAAAAACTCACACCTCAACCACAGCACTTCTCTCATGAAGACTTCAGGTAAGAATCCTCTTCCGCCGCGGCGGCGCGGCGATCGCGGCTTTACCCCCGGCTCTCGCGGTGCGCGTCACGGTTTCCGGCCCGCGAAAATTCGCTTCGTTACAGGTGGAAGCAACCCTTTCACCAAAAAATGTCAACATTAGTAAATACAAGAAACTTACGGTTTTTTTAACACAAAAAGAAGAAATCATATTCCAAAAAAGTCTAAAACTCTTTCACAAGATGAAAGTCTTAGATTTCATTTGTGTTCATTGTTATTATCTGTTTACTTTGTTATAATAAAATGTGGTAAGTCATAATATTTCCATTATTTTTAATTATTATCAATTTTAAAGGTTGGCGATACAAATTTGTATGCACCAAGTCAGTAAAGGATTTTCATCGAACTCGCCTGTTACTCGCCTCGCTCGCTTTGCTCACTGGGCTCATAAGCTCATAAAAAAGATAAAGAATCACTTTACTGACTTGGTACATAAATAACTATTAAAGATAACAAAAACTGATAAAATGAATTCTCGAGCGTAAAAAAATAGTTCACGAGATGCCTTCTCTAAAGAAACCAGTGTATACATAACTGCGCCCGATTTCCTTGTTGTGGAAATGCGCGAAAGAAAAGACACCAGCAACCAGTATTCGGTGCAAGTCGTAAACAATGAAACAAATTTAAAATTAAAGTCAGATTGTTCTCATGTGCTGCATTTCTTGCAGTAACTACATTTAATGAGCAAATCTAAATAAAGTGCTTCAGAATGGCTTCAAGTTCAGGTACTATAAAGTGTTCATTTAAAAGTGTGTCCATCGTTCCAAAAAAAGTAAGTATTGAGAGATATCGTATAATAGAAGTATAAAGATTACGTAGATATATTATCTTTGATTACAACTCACGATTTTTTGGATTTTTTCAGAGTAACCAACAAGATGCCATCCGAATATTCAAAATCGATACAAAGACTGGAAAAATGATACTTTACGAAGATCAACTGCAGTTACTAAAAAGCGATAAGTTCAAGGATTACAAAGTTTGCGTCATTTCAGTCAATGGAAGTTACAGAACCGGCAAATCTTTTCTTCTCAATTTCTTTCTGCATTGTCTTAAGAAGAAGGTGAAGTATTGTTTCATTAAAACACCTTTTAAAAATATTTTCTAATTTTTGTTTTTCGGGTTTAATTAAAGTAGTATTGTATGAGAGTCCGTTTGGCGAACAGTTACTTTCATATTTTCTCGATCTTTCTTGAAATAAGTCTCTCGTTTCTGTCTGATGTCTGTCTTTTGTTGTCTGTATTATTAGATAGATAATCTCCGAAACTACCCAACCGATTGTTGTGAAATTTTTATATGTATTTTAGGAATATCGTGTAATGTATTCGAAATTTGTCTAATCATAGCCACCAATGATTTAATAACGTTATTTCAAAATTTTGCATGCTAGATGCTATTTACATTTTATAAAATCACATACTTGTGAAGTTGTGTTTGGGTTGGTTTCATGAGCCAAATTTTTAAATTGCTTATACAGGACGACTTAAAAAAAATATGAACTAAATAACTTAGTTTTCGATGAAATTGTGTTTGTTAGACTGTACTTCAGGAGCGCGAGAAATTCTGTGTAAAGTCGTTAGAGCAATTTTCTATGATCCAGTGAAATTAAAGTGGTACGATCAAAAATCTTCTGAATCAATGTTGGAATTCAACTAATTTTGCAACCACTTGATGTTTACCTCAAAAGCGTCTATCTTACTATCGTATTGTTTTGTCTATTAAAAAATTAAACTGTGGATTTTTTTACATCTAGTGCTTTTCTTGAATTTGTATATTTCTCAGTGCCAAAGTGTACAACGAGAATGGATGGATGTTAACGACACCCTGACTCGTGGATTTTTTTGGGAAAAAAGTGCGCAGAGAGTTACAGATGGTATACTTATATATCCCGAAATATTTTTAACGAAAACAAAAGAAGGCGAAAAAGTAGAATCCTTCATTATGGTTAACAAAAAAGAATATGTGGTTCTATGTTTTAGATCGCTATAATTTTGATGGATACTCAAGGAACGTCTGATCATCAAACCTCTTACGCTGAGTGCACTAAGATTTTTGCCCTTAGTGCATTAATTAGCTCAGTTCACATTTACAACATCCAGAATAAACTTGATTTAGAGCAGCTTGGAGTTCTACAAGTAAAGCGTTTATTTTTTCTTGCGCGAATTTATTTATTTATTTTTAGTTATTTGCGGGATATGGAGCGATGTTTAGCGACAACGAAAAGAAACCTTTCCAAGATTTGTACATTCTGGTTCGAGATTGGGTAAATTTTGAAGAATATGATTTTGGTTTTGAGGGCGGCAAGGAATTATTAACTTCTACCTTCAAAGCACATCAACAATCCAACCTAAGTGTAATACAAAAAACTATTAAAGATAATTTTGAGAAAGTCCAGTGCTTTTTGATGCCAAAGCCTGGAAATCAAGTTGAGACAAAGGGATTTAAAGGCAATTTTAATGGTAATTCTTGTTTTCGTTTGTCGGAGAAATTTTTTCTGAACCGATTTTTTAGATATTAGGAAAATATTTCGCAATCATGTGAAAACCTTTGTTGAAAAACTTTTAACCTGTAAGAATTTGGTACCGAAAAAAATCAATAATAATTTCGTTACGGTCGAGGAGCTATTTAGATTTATTGATGGTTACTGGAGATGTATTAATGAAACTGAAGAGTTGTGCACTGAATCAATTTACATGGTTTGCGTTTGAAACCAGTGCTTTTTCAATAGTCATTAGTAGAGCTTGGAAAATATGCACTAAAAAACTCTCAAAATATGCATGCAAATATGCAGTAAAAAATGTCAAAATATGCACTTAAATATGCTTTTATGAACATATTTATGCTCTTATGCATAATGCATAAATATTTTTTACGATGTATTGCGAAGTTTTATACAAAAAATAAAATACATACACAATATAATTGTTTATTTGAATAAGTTACTAAGAATGTTTAAAATATAATATCATCAATTATTTTTATTTAAATTAAAACAATATGTAATTAAATATTTTTCCAAGTTGTCAATCGTTAAACTTTGCCTGCGATCAGTTAAAATCAGTTTGTATTGAGAAAAACTTCTTTCAACATCACAGGAAGTAATAGGTGCGTATTTAAACCTTGATATAATTCCTGGTGCTAAATCAATTTCCTCTTCAAAACTACCCTTCAACACATTATTAATTTTTTTAAGTGTTTGAAAACCTTCATTTTTTTCTAATATTGTATCAAACTTGCATCTTATCTTGTCAAATTCTTCACATGAAAGAGATATTTTGTTATATAAATTATTGACCACGTCTATGCTTTCACTCAAAAGAAAATCTGTGGTTTCTAATTTTTTTATTGCATGTGCAATGCAAACAAAATTACCCTGAATATATGCTAACTGATTTTTAACAAGAGGATTATTAAATGTGTCAATACATTTTTTAATAGCAGTAGAATTAGTACTGTCGAACTGACACACAACATCTTTGATTTCGTCAAAATATTTGCATATAAATTCTGCCGATTCCAACCATGTTCCCCATCTCGTTAAAATGGGTTCCGGTGGTAATGGTATGCCGGGCATTTTTTCTTTGTAAACTTGCACACGAAGTGGTGCTTTTACAAATACCTTTTTAACATTTGTAACTAGAGTGTTAACAAGAGGAAATTGAATTCGGACACTTTCCGCTACTCTATTAAGACCGTGCGCCAAACAGGTACAATGAATTAAATTTGGGAAAAAAATTTTTAAATTTGTTGCTGCTTTAATCATGTAAGAAGCAGCGTCAGTAACCATTAATAAAACGTTATCTGTAACAAGCTGCTTTGGCAAATAAAAATTCATTAAGCAATCATTAATAAATCTAGCGATTGTTACATTGTTCGTTTTTTCAAGTTCTTTGACATTTAGCAAATATCCTCTACCCAGTGCGTCTTGTTTTAAGCTACCTATGATTAAATTTGCGATATATCGTCCTTTCACATCAGTCGTTTCATCAACTGAAAACCAAATGGGGGAGTCACCAATGTCTTCGCGAATGTGTTTCAGTGTCGATTCGTAATTTATTCCAACATATTTTTTTCTCAGTGTTGACGAACTTGGGATAGTTACGTCTGGGCAGTAACTCTTTAAAAAAGTTTGGAAAAGTGGTTGGTCTAATTTAAACACAGGAATGTTTAAGCCAATAAAAAGTTTGCATAAGTCCCGTGAAAAATTATCATTGGAGCTGTTTTCATTTCTATCTGTCATTAATTGCTGAACAAATTGTTGAGGACTTTGTTTCTTGTTCTTGTGACTGGTCGTATTCAGATGTTGATCAATTTGAAACTTTTTTTCACAAGTAATCTGCAAGAAACAAATAGAATAAAAAAACTATCTTTAATAATTTTCTAATTTATATGTATCTTGGTATTAAAGCGATATTAACGCTTATTGAATTATAAAAAAAGTAATGATTCAATTTTACTAAAAATAAAAGTTAAAGAAAATGTTTCATGCACAATATTTTTGGCTTACCCTTTTTTCACAAATAGTACAGTAAATATGAGTAGAGTCCATTATTTTTAATTCAGTTCTATTTGCAATCCACTTTTTTAAAAGTTCCGACCTATTGGCTGCTTGTTTAGGCATCGCAAAAATTCCACTCGTTATACACAAAACAACACTAACTCAAGGCAGATAAAATAATACGTTACGAGGTACGAAGTTGCTTCCTTAATATTAGTAAACGAAAAGGGGGAAGGGGGAGTCGAACCCAAAACATTCCCAAGAAATGGTCAGCTTAGTTATAGGTTGATTTATGGTTCTCAATTTTAACCATAAATATACAATTTTAAAATTTACTACTTATGTAAATCTGACAAAATTGAACGATGCCGCATATTTAAAGAGATTAGAAATTCCAGGTAGTGCCTTTTTCTTGAAGTAAACAGTCGCCGACAAATTTGGGGATACCTAATCTTTAGAAAAGAGGATTATTTTAGGTAGATCCGGAAATTACCAGTGATTCATGGCAAAACTTGCGAAATATGCATTTTTTTATTTTGCATATGCATTTATTCTAAACCTCAAAAATATGCTGATATGCACTTAATATGCATTTTGCATATAATCCAAGCTCTAGTCATTAGGTACTTTTAGGCAACTGCTGAGATTTCTCTTCAACATCTCGTGAATAGAAAGGTAGACGAATACAAGAAGCGTTTAGGCAGCTGTACAGATCTAACACAAGCTGAAAATGAAGAAAGTAAAATTCTGAAAGAATTTGAAAAGGCACGGGAGATGAAGTTGGGCACAAAAAAATTGCGAGGAAGTTTTAAACAACAACTTGTAGAGGTAAATATTTTTCAATAACATTTCAAGCCAATTTCTGCGTTAAAACCCAACAAATAGTTTCGAGATATGTTTAAAATGATATCAAAATTTTTTTTTAGCTGCTTGATGCACTATTCAATGAGTTTCACACAATTTTAGACTATGAAGATGAACTAGGAAACGAATATATCGAGCAGCTACAAGAATGTTCAACTTTAGAGCAGGCCGAAAAGATAAAGCATCGAATTTTGAAGAAATTCCTGAAAATGCTCAAAAGTTTTAACTACCTAAACGGGGCACAAGAAGTACCTAAGCAACGGTTAACAGGAGTAAGTTATAATATTTTATAATTTATGTATATAAATTGCATAACAGATAGTTTTGACACCTGTGTATAAAACTCCTTTTAGCTGCTTGATAATGTGTATACAGATTTTCTCATGCTTTTCGACCATGTGATTGAATTAAAAATGGAATACATAGAACACGTTAAGGAATGTATAACTTTAAAGCAGACCTCGAAAGTAAAGGAGACAATTCTGAAGAAATTTCTGTACAATACCAAAAACATGGATTGCAACGAACAATTGCGAGACTGTTTTAAGCAGCGGTTAACCAAAGTAAGTTTTTTAAATAATAACATAATTTAATTTTTAACATTTGAAAAAAGGAAACTTATTTTAAATAAGAAGTAGATGGAATGTATAATATTCGTTAACAAATAATTTTAATATCTGTATACAAAACTGGCTTTTAGCTGCTCGATAAAATGTGTAAGAAGTTTTACACACTTTTTGATCTCATGAATCAGTTAATAGAGAAATACACAAAAGCTGTCAAAAAATGTCGAACTTTAAAGCAAGCCCAGGAAGTGATGAGTGAAATTTTGGGTGAATTTCAAGAAAAAGGCGAGGACATACATTGTGGGAAGGAACTACTTGATAATTTCAAGCGACGGTTAAGTGTAGTAAGTTTTTGTCAGTATAAATAATTATACCTATAAGATAATCTTGAAAAACTTGAAAAAAAAGAATTTAGTTCAAACATAAAAGCATAACCTTTCACAAAAAATAATTTTTTCACTAGCAGCCATGCCGCATGCAAATGTCGACTCATTTAGAGGTAGCAAATTCAATTTTTGCGACCACCGGTTCAAAAAGAAAAATTGAGGTTATGTACGCAATATTTGATGTGATTATTTCTTAAAAAATGAACGAATGTGTGCTACAAACATTACTTGAGTATACGCATGGTAGTTGGTAGACGGTAGAAGGTAAAATGATTAACTCAGCGACACGTATAAACGGTTTTCTTTGTGTTGAAAATTTAGATTAAGTTTGATTAGAAATCAAAACAAATTCATATTGCGTCAAAAAATTGAACGTTTATTTTTTCAGTTTATTGTCTTATGGTTTCTACTAGTGAAAAAAATAGTATATTAACCACGGTTGCAAAGCCACTTCTAGACCTCGCGCTTCAGAGCCCTCGACGCTGCGCGTCTCGGGTTCTAATTTGCGCTCGGTCTAGAATGCTTGACTCTGCAACCTTGGCTAATAATATACTATTTCACAATTGTATTTAAAATGACTATAACGAAAATATTTTTAGCAACTTGATAAGGTGTATAATGATTTTCATATACTTTTCGATCATGTAAATCAACTAATAGAGGAATACTCCGAACGCGTTAAAGGATTTAGAACTTTGGAGGAAGCCCAGGCAGAGATACAGATAATTTTGGTGACGATTGAGGAAGAGAATTTGAACTGTGAGAAAGAATTACGACATCATTTTAAGAAGCGCCTAAAAGCAGTAAGTTTTTTCAGTGTAAATATATATTTATAATGGATGTTCAATTGGAAAATCACTCATAGTAGTCGTTGGAATTTCATTCAACACTAATGATATGCCTATTCTTATAACATAATAGCATATAACATGTTATATTTATGTCAAACGGATGTTAAGAAGAGCAGACATGCCGTTTGTGTCAAATGGAATTCCAACGCCTACTCGGAGTGATTTTTCAATTGAACATCCATTATAATTTAACCTGAAACACTTGAAGAAAGGGAATTTTTGTTAAACGTAACAGCGAAATGTATGCTCTGTTATGATAAATAATTTTGACAATTGTGCATAAAGCGACTGCAACAAACGTATTTTTAGTCGCTTGATAAGGTATGCGATGATTTTCGCATACTTTTCAACCATGTAAATCAACTAACAGACAAGTACTTCAACCTTGTGAAAGAATGTAGAACTTTAGAAGACGTCCAGGGAAGGATTAAGAGAATTTTGGTGACATTTGAAGAAGAGACCTTGAACTGCGACAAGGAATTACGAAATCAGCTGAAGCAGCGCCTAAGTACAGTAAGTTTTTTTCAGTATAAGTAATTATATAATTTAATCTGGAATTGAAGAAACGGAGTTTATTTTAAACACAAAAACATGCGGAATACACTTGTACAATCATAAAGCGACTGTAACAAAAATATTTTTAGCCACTTGATAACGGATATAATGATTTTCGCATACCTTTCAACCATGCAAATCAACTAAAAGAGGAATATTCAAAACATGTTGAAGAATGCAGAACTTTAAAGCAAGCCCAGAAAAAGAAGAAGAGAATTTTGGAGACATTTGAAGAAGAGAATTTAAGCTGTGATAATGAATTACGAGATCAGTTTAAGCAGCGTTTAAATGCAGTAAGTTATTTTGGGGGTAAATAATTAAGGTAACTGGACCCTATATGGCCTGCCTAAGTTTTGAGAATTTTTTAAATTTTTGTAAGAACTTGAAATGGAATCGTGGAAGTTGAAAGAGATTACATTTTTGTACATAATTTTCAAATTTCAGACATTTTTAAAATTATAGAGCCCAACAGTACCCGGTTTAGTTAAAGCGTGTCTTTAGGCCAAATTGAGTACTAGATACCAATATGGCCTGCTTTAAAAAATCGAAAAAAAAAGCACGCAAAAAAGTTTATTTACAAACAAATTGTTAATTTTCACAATAAGGAGAAATAAAAATATCTTTATCAATTTTTAGTGAGACCCACGCACTCTTCGTGTACGTATATATTTCTTACATCATGTGGAGCATATTCTCATATCTTTTACAATATCTTCTTGGTACATTTCGCAAAAAGAATTTTCTTGCTTCTTCCTTGAGTTTGCTTTTTCCTCATAGTAATTTAAATCACCTTATTCACAAAAACAATCAAACGGGAACTGCAGCATGTACCCAACAGGCCAATAGCCCGCCTAGGCCATATTGATTAGACATCACAAGCGAACATGTTATCAGTAATTCCAACTGAAAATCTGTTAAGAAAGTACAACTAATGCACATCATTTAAAAGCGGAAAAAAGGAGCTACACAATTATAGAAATATGAAATTGATAACTTAATTGAGATTAAAACTATCCAGAGAAAACTTACCGGGATAAAATAGAGCGGATATCGACTCGTCAAATCAACTTCACAAATAACTAAACGAAACGGTGTACCTATTACTTTACTGATTGCTTCTATATGGTATAAAAACTTTCCAGAATATATCCCAGTTCGGATCTAGCACATTTTGTTGGAAACATATGAGAAACAGCCAATATGCTATATTGGGTACTAGACCATATTGAGTTCAGTTACCTTATATAATTTAATCTAAAACACTTAAAAAATAAGAATTTAAGTTAAACATCAAAGTATACAGAATATATAATTTTTCACAACAGAAGTATTTTTAGTTTCTTGATAAGGTTTATGATGGTTTTTGTCTACATTCCAATCATGTAAATCAACTAATAAACGAATACTCGGAATGCGTTAAAAAATACAGAACTTTAGAGGAAGCCGAGGTAGAGAGGCAGAGAATTTTGGTGACATTTGAAGAAGAGAACTTGAACGGCGAGAAGGAATTAGGAGATCATTTTAAGAAGCGCCTAAATGCAGTAAGTTTTTTCAGTGTAAATAATTATACTTAGAAATAAGTACATTAACTTTAAGCAGTTATAGACCTCATCAAAATCAACAACTTTTTTTAATTAGCAAGTTAAATTTCATTTAATTTAATCTAGAACACTTGAAGAAAGGGAATTTATGTTCAACATAAACGCACACTCAATTATAATCTTACACAAGAAATAATTTTGACTTTTTTGTATAAAGTGACTATAACGAAAATATTTTTAGCCACTTGATAAAGTGTATAAAGATTTTCGTATACTTTTCAACCATGTAAATCAACTAGTAGAGGAATACTCCGAACGCGTTAAAGGATGTAGTACTTTAGAGGAAGCCGAAGAAGAGAGGCAGAGAATTTTGAAGACCGTGGAAGAAGAGAACTTGAACTGCGATATTGAATTAAGAGATCATTTTAAGCAGCGCCTAAATGAAGTAAGTTTTTTCACTGTAAATAATTACATAATTTATCTGGAGCATTTGAAGAATAGGTATTTATGTAATAAATATATATTAAAAAAAAAAACCAGGGCATAATTGACCAGCCGATTTTAATAGACGAGAGAGCGCAGCGACTCAGTCGATAAAGTAAGCGAGTCAATAAAGTCGGTTTATGTACGAATTATACATACAAAGCTTTATGTCCCACTGCAGCAATTATATCTTTTATAAAAATGTAAAAATGCAAAAAAAAACTAAACACCTAGTCATTCTATAAGGATGCCAAACGTGACAAATTTGTGTAAATTTTCATTTATTTCGAAAAACTGTTTTCGCAAGTTGTATTGAAAATCGTGAAATTGTTCTTTATTTGTGAAAAATAATGGAGGAAATAACAATAATAACCAGGGAAACAAAAGAAACACTCCTCCCAATAAAGTAAAGAGATTTAAACGAAGAAATTTACGCCGCATGTAAAAAATGGTTGCTACAAGCAGAAAATCCAAAAAACAACAGAAGATACTACATTGGCTTTTCTGAATACTGAACTCGCTTCTTTGGAACTGTCTAGTCTATGAAGCGAAGTACAATTAATTTAAAAGAAGGTACAGATCTTACCAATTTTCCCAACATTATTCTTTATCTGAGTTACTCTATGTTAGGAAGTTTATTTTATTATATGGAATAATTACAGAAGAGCTCCATTTTCAAAGTTATCCTTCTTTTTGGTCTAGCAGAGGTCTGTAAATGTACGAAATTAGTCTCTTTAACAGTTAACATTGTAAAAGACCAAGACATAGTATATTATTAGCCAAGGTTGCAGAGCCAAGCATTCTAGACCGAGCGCAAATTAGAACCCGAGACGCGCAGCGTCGAGGGCTCTAAGTGCGAGGTCTAGAAGTGGCTTTGCAACCGTGGTTAATATACTATTTTTTTCACTAGTAGAAACCATAAGACAATAAACTGAAAAATAAACGTTAAATTTTTTGACGCAACGTGATTTTGTTTTGATTTCTAATCAAACTTGATCTAAATCTTCAACACAAAGAAAATCGTTTATACTTGTCGCTGAGTTAATCATTTTATCTTCTACCGTCTACCAACTACCATGCGTATACTCAAGTAATGTTTGTAGCACACATTTGTTCATTTTTTAAGAAATAATCACATCAAACATTGCGTACATAACCTCAATTTTTCTTTTTGAACCCGTGGTAGCAAAAGTTGAATTTGCTACCACTAAATGAGTTGACATTTGCATGCGTCCAGGCTGCTAGTGAAAAAAATATTTTTTAGTTCGCCTAGTCTACAAAAGAGAATTTTTTTGTCATTCTTCCAAGGGAAAATGCTTTGTCATTTTGTAATTAGAAAATACATGGTGTTAAGACCAAGAATAATTTTTGGGTTTATCTAATTCTGATTTACTCACCGGCCGCTGTTTCCGCATGACATCTGTTAGTTTTTTGGCAAATTCTGGAGTTGATATGAGTGCTCATTTAATCTAGCGCAATGTAACAAATTTCGGCCGCAAAATATTTCCATAACGATTATATTATCATGCAGTTGGACATAAAGGGAATTTATGTTAAACAAAATTATACGGAATGTACTTATTTCATAACAAATAGTCTTGACACTTGTATTTTCAGGCACTTCATAAGGTGTATAGTAATTTTCGCATACCTTGCGTCTATGTCAATGAACTGATAGTTGAATACTCCACGCTTGTTAAAGAATGCAGAACTTTAGCAGATGCGAAGGAAAAGATGCAGGGAATTGTGGTGACATTTGAAAAAAAGAAGTTGAACTGCGAGGATGAATTGCGAAACATATTTGGGGAATATTTGACGGAAGTAAGTAATTTTTTTTTAATGTAAATGTTATAGTAATTTAATAAATTGCAATTGTAGGAATGTTCCCAGATATATGAAAATAACAAAACTGAAATTGAAATGAGCCATGTCAATGATGTTTCTGAAGGTATTGGTAAATGGACTTCAAACATTTTAGGAGCAGCTGGGGGAGTTTTTGGTGGAATAAGAGGCAGCCCCGCGTTGGGTAGTTTACTGTCAGGAGCCGGTAAAGCTGTGGGAGATGGACTCGGTGCAGGTGCACGTGGAATTGGAACACTCATAGTTAAAGGAAAAAACACGGATAATAATAATCCTGAATAACCTTCGTATTCTAGTCATAAGACATAAAATAATATTTCACAGCTTTTTTAATTTGTGAAATTTGTTATATTATCTCACATATTATTAAACCGTTTACTACACATTAGATCACAGAGTATTGAGTTTAATTTTTTTTGGGTGCATGTTGCCCATAGTTGGAGAATTTTTACGACGCAGAAAAAAATGCTAATAATTATTGCGGTCTAGCTTTGTAATCAATTTGTGCTACGAAATTACAGAAAACAAAAACAAAAGCTCTTTTGTTTCGGGACACAAGCTTGATTTGTTGACCCAAATCAATCATGTTTTCTTGTTGATGTGTGTTTCATCTAGGTCTTTGAAGAAGTTTCTGTGCAGTTGTTTTTATTTCAGCCCACTTATATCTAGTATTAGATAGATTTAAGGGTGTGTGGAGTTCAAGACTGCCCTTGTTATGGCGCAAATTATTACTTTTTTTTAGACCTAACACTAACCCGGAAATGATTAGCACTCAGGCAAGGCTTCTATCGTTACGAGTACAGAGACCAAGTAATGATATGCATTGTCCTAATAATATAACAATTATACCTTAGCATCCAAGAGCCTATGGTGTTGTGTAAATTGTGTAATCTAGATCTCGATTTTTACTTATGACATCAGCATTGATTAAAGTTATGTAACATAATACATAAAATATTGATTTTGCCTTGAAGTAAGTACCTCTCATTGATCTAATAAAGGAATGGATGGAGCCTTGTATACGTTTCCATACGTGAGTGAGTGTAATCAACATAAGAAAGAAATAGGTAGAGCGTGCATCAGTGGGGAAAGAATGGCTGACCACGTATCACGTGCTGGGTGGCAAGAAACGCTTCTTTTGAACGGGAATTAATACGTTTTCTTACGAGTTTGTTCAAACAATCAATTATAAAAAAACGTCTGTTAATGAAATCTATATTTTTACAGTTTAAAATTATGTGTAATGTGAAACAACAAAAATCATGTTAAGTGGTGGAGATACTCTATTAATAGAATTAAATGAATAGAGAATCTACAATATATTACGAATTCAGTTGTGTATGTTCATTGGTAATTCTGAAATTTTTAGGATAAAAGTAATTAAACTTTCGATAAAAGCGACAGGGTGCCTAATTATATTAAACATATTAAATTGTGTGAAATATTCTACTAAAATCTACTATTTTCTAAATCCACGTACAAATAACTAAAACAATAATCAATAGATATAAATGTTTAGGGAATCTAACAAACATTTTAAATTATTTACGAAATCCTTCGTCTGTGTATGTGATTATTACCTATGAAATGAAACAGGATTGCTTTCTTTGCACGTTCTATTCAATTATACGCACAACACGATTTCATGATGTTTAACAAATAGTCCCATAAAATACAACTTAAGAAGACTGTAGACATTTAAATAAGGTAACTTGAGCCTAAAAAACGTACATGTGCAAAAATACACCTTCAAACACTATGCGACAGTACGAAAGAAACCTCCAGAAACACAGTGCTCTACAGTTTCGTGTCAATGTTTTGCCACCCAGAGAGCCCTATCTCTGTCCCACTGTGTTGACAACGCGCGTCTCTCTCTAAGGTACTTCCATATAATATTATTTCTGTGGTACCTCTTGATACTTCCGTGATGAAAGAACATAAGAAGACTTGATTATCACAGTTTTTAAATACTGTGGGGAACAAATATAACTACCATTAGTTCTAAAATTACCAAAAATTACATGAAGCAGTCCCTACATTTGTTTAATTTGCGAACAGAATTTTAATAGATATTTTTATCTTCGCTATTGTTGTTTAATCATGTATCAATAAATAATCTGACCTTTTTTAAAATTAGGAATTGTTTAATTATGATTTTTATCTGATTTGGAAATTCCGAATGGTTTTTTATCATTACCTTGAAAATCGTAAAACTTCAGTTACAACTCGCCTAATCATTATCAACAACAAAAATACAAAAATGAACAGGTCGAGACGACAAACTGACTTTTGAATTCTCTTAGAAACCAATCACACAGGGAGTCATAAAAAAATTCCCAAGAAACTTTTTAATAAAAAGAGGATACATTTTTCTCAGGGATTAGACAAAAATGTAATTCCAAAATATCAAAAGATATAGAAGAAAGTAGTTGAAGAAGTTGGATTAGAAATTAACCATATTTGTTGCAGTTCTAGTTTTGTGACGATCTAAAATACCTGATGATATCCGAAGAAAAATTTTATAAAATTTTGCAAAAAAAAATCATAAAAACAAAAGAAACCATTCTGTGATGGGAAAAATTTCCTTCCATTAACAAATTGCGACTGTCTATACTTTCAGATGTAGGAATTAAGAATAGTGAGTTTTAATTTTCAAAATAATTGTTTTTTAAAATTATTCCATAACAAAAAACACATTTTCGTTTCATTAAAACAGATTTCTTGAACTTTAAAGTAATATCATAAAAAATTGTATTTAACGAACATAACTGCCCTTAGATATTGCTCAGGCATTAAAACGAAGAGTTGACGTTTATTTTCACATGGAACCGTTACCTAAAAGTTGCTTCATACGATGATACTTTAATTTAAAGATAACTAATAGCTGATAAAAAAATCTCTTGAGCGTAAAAAAATAGTTTACGAGAAGCGTCCTTTAAAGAAACTAGTGTAGCGGAGCTTTCAAAGCGCTCCGCTAGTACCCTCTCGAGGGCGCTGTCCTCGGCAGCGCCAGTATCAACCCCACCAAGCTCACCCCCACTGGAACGCACCCCACCTGAAGCTACGTCATTATACAGGTACTCCCACGCAACTCAACCCTGCCTATATAAGGCCCAACGCGACCGCTTTTCAGGCAGTTACAGATCGCCTTCTGGAATGCCAACGGACTCCGGAGCGGGCGTTATGAACTCGAAGAGTTCATGGAAGACCACCAACTCGATGCCATCCTCGTCAACGAGACGAACCTCCTGTGGAATTCCCGAGATCCCAAGATGCCGGGTTACACCCTGCACCGAACGGAACGCCGGGACGGAAACGGGAGAGGAACGGCCGTCTACGTAAGAAAAGAGATTAAACACTCTTCTTCTTACGTCCCCGATCTCCAACAACGCTGACCTCGTCGCAGGTGACGAGGCCACCATCGTAGCTGGCGACTTCAACGCCAAGCATTCGGACTGGCACAGCCGCCAGAACAACGCGAACGGAAGGCGCCTCCTAACCTTCCTCCAAAACACCGCGGAAGTAGACGTCATCTCCACCGAAGAACCGACGATCTACCACCGAGCCCGACCAGATGCACCAGGTGATGTCTTGGACATTGCCCTCGTCAAAAACCTCCGACACGAAGTGGACGTCAACGTCGTCGACGAGCTCCACTCCGACCACCTCCCTGTGATTATGCACATCGGGAACGAACCCAACGATCCCGTGGCCAACATAATCACGACCACGGATTGGACGAAATTCGCCGAACATATCAAGGGCAACTTTGGTGAGTTCGTAACGAATTTCCAGGACAGCGAGCAAGTCGAAAGAGCAACCCTGGACTACGAAAATCGTATCCGGGCCTCCATCGACGTGACCTCAGTTCGACGCCCTGTGCGGCCATTCAAACGGCCCGCGATACCACAGCGTATCGCGAATCTCATCAAGGAAAAGAACAGAGCCAGACGAACAGCACGACGAACTGGAGAACAGGACGACCGGACTGCAGCGAACCGCCTCCAATGGGACGTCCGGCGAGCACTGCTCAATCTTAGGAGCGAGCAGTGGGAACAAAGACTAGAATCCCTGAACACCGTGGACGGATCGACCTGGAAAATGGCCAAAGCGCTGAGAAGCGACAAGCGGCCACTTCCACCGATCCACAGCGCGAACAACGGCATCGTCTTCACAGAAGAGGACAAAGCCGCCGCCTTCGCTCACAGTCTGGAAAACCAATGCCAGACGAACATCGACCCTGATGCAGATGACGAGCATCTGGACCTCGTCGAGGAAACCGTCGAAGAAATTCGAATGGCAGAACCCGACGAAGACGCCCAGATCCGCGAAGTCCAGCCTGACGAAATCCGGGAAATCATCCGACTCCTCAAGCCCAGGAAAGCCCCAGGCCCAGATGGCATCCCGAACAAAGCATTGAAGAACCTCTCCGACGAAGCCATCGTCGCACTAGCAGGTATCATTGATGCAATGTTCAAATTCCGACTTTTTCCAGCTAGGTGGAAAGAAGCCCATGTCATTTTCATCCCGAAACCGGGGAAAAATCACATTTTCCCGGAAAATCACCGACCCATCAGTCTCCTCTCGTCCGTGGGGAAGATCGCTGAACGTGTGATTCGGAAACGGCTAGCCGAGTTCGTCAACGAACGAGGCGTAGTCCCCGATGAACAGTTCGGTTTTCGCCCCCAACACTCAACATCCGAACAACACCTCCGAGTAGTCGAATTCGCCGCAAAATCAATTGAATGGAAACAATTGACTGGCGCGGTGTTGCGAAGGCCGTCGACACCGTCTGGCATGATGGACTTGTTTACAAGCTTCACCAAGCAGGCGTGCCGTTGGCGATGGTGCAGCTCATCCAATCCTTCCTGGATTCCCGCACGTTTAAAGCACGCATTGGGCACGCTTTATCTGCGGAGCATCCAATTAGCGCTGGAGTCCCCCAGGGCTCGGCGCTCTCCCCGCTCCTGTACGCGGTTTTCACCGCGGACATACCCAAATCCCCCCGAACTAGCCTTGCCATCTACGCAGACGACACGGCTATCCTGACGCGCTCCAAAATGCCGCATCTCGTAACCTCCTACTTACAGGAGGCCGTGGATGCGCTGGAGGAGTGGTGCAAACGATGGCTCATTACAGTCAATCCAGAAAAGAGCACTGCGCTTCTTATCTCGAAAAGGGCCAGCAGGAGACGTCACGATGTTTAACCGGGTCATCCCTTGGCGGAGCCAAGCAAAATACCTAGGTGTCATCGTTGACAAACGGCTGTCCTTTATCCCTCATTTTGACTACATCGTGGCCAATACGAACAAGATAAAGGGTTCGTTGTCTGCGCTGATCGGTAAGCGCAGTAAGGTGTCGATCAGGAACAAGTTGTTGCTGTATGGCGCCATCATT